GCAGGATTTGTGCTGCATCGGCAGAGCTGTGTGGGACGCTGCATCGCTAACTCCCATCAGAGCGGTGACGGTTGGCGTCAAGGTCTCCCTACGCTCTTCTCAGGCTTCTCCCAGCTGCACCCTTCGCCTCTCGCCCACTCCCGACTTCATGTCTCCGCGTGCCGCCTCCCCGCCACCACCACGCCTCTCGGGAGGCTCGGAGCGCTTTCCCACTCCCTTTGCCAGGACCCCTTCTCCAGAGCCTGGCCCCGCTCCCACCCTATGAAGCTTTAGGCTGTCCCGGTCACGCCTTGCTGCGTGTTAAACCCCGCGACCTGCCAGCTGCTGGGAGCAGGGCCGCTCCCTCGGGGTGGGAGCGGGCTGCGCACCGCATCCCTCGGCTTTCCAGAGTCAGGGAAGCCACCTCTCTCCTTCCCCTCCGTTCCTGGTGACGGACTGTTTCCGTCTGCCCTCCCTATCCAGGTGTTTTACAACGGTGCCAACGTGAAGCAGGTGGATGTGCCCACCCTGACCGGCTCCTTCGGTATCCTGGCCTCACACGTCCCCACCCTGCAGGTCCTCAAACCGGGAGTTGTGACAGTCTACGCTGAGGACGGCACGGCCACCAAGTACTTCGGTAAGGAAAGTAGGCGGAGCTGGGGAGGGAGGAGAGTGTGCGTGGGGGGGGATGTTCTCAGGGCTTTCACAAGGGAGGCTCTGCCGATCAAGGTGTGCCCTGGTGCCCTTCCAGGGATTTCTGCTTTCCCAGCCTCCCAGGGGCTGCCAGAGGCTGCCCTGCGGGGCCGGGGATCTGCCCGGGACGATGGGGCTCCGTGTGAGGCCGTGGTCTGGGGTCAGGTTTTCTTGGTTCTGCTTAGACTCTCTGGGAGCATCCCCCTGCTTTAGCTTCCCTCCTGGTAGGAAATGAGTCCCTGTGGGACCTGGGAAACGTTACGGGAGAGTGTGGAGGTTTTGTTTTGGCAAAGGGCTCATGGAGATTCCGGGGAACAGCTTGCCAGTTGCTGTCCTGTGTGCGGACCCCCAAATGAGGCCCATCTGGCAGCCCTGCCCGCGCTGCCTGACTCGGCCCCCGCTGTTGTGCCTTTGCAGTGAGCAGCGGCTCTGTCACGGTCCACGCCGACTCCACCGTGCAGGTGCTGGCGGAGGAGGCGGTGACGATGGACATGCTGGATCTGGCTGTGAGTACCCCAGTCCCCGTGGGCCGGGCTGCACCCTGCCTCCCTTGAGCCAGCCCTGGCAGCTGGGCTGCCTCGTGGAGATTTTCTCCCCAAACCTCGTGGAGATTTTCTCCCCAAACCTCGTGGATTTGTTCCCTGCTTCTCTTGTGTGGGGTGGTTATCTCCGAAGCTTCCTGTGGCTGCAGAAAGCATGCCCGGACCGGGGGCTGTGCCTTCACCCCGAGCTTCCCCATCACCCACCGATGGGGATCAAAGGCTCGGAGTTCCTCCTCAGTGAACTCTCCACAGGCTGTGGGGAGAGGAAGCCACACAGTCGTTAACCCTTCTCCAGGCCACTTCCCTCCCCTCGGACAGATGCTGATCTTGCCCCTTCCCGCCCCTCTTAGTCTCAAGAACGGCTTTTCCCTAGTTGATGAGCCGTCTGCTGCCAACGCAGCCGTGTAGGCGGGTCTGTGGGGCCCCGTGCATGGGGGGCCGATGGCTGCAGTGGAGGGAGGGGTGGGAGAGGAGTGACTCAGGGGCTGCAGGGCAAGTCACCTGTCCTGCGGTGGTCTCCCGATGACGCATTCCTTCCTCTCTTGTGTTCAGACTGCAAAATCAAACCTGGAGAAGGCTGTTTCGGAGATGGTCATCCGATGAAGCAGCTAAAGCAGAAGCTCAGATTAAAGTAGAAGCTAATGAAGCCCTTGTAAAAGCCCTGGAGTAATTAAGGTAAATGTCACCTATATGCTGGCAGAGATTTCCAGATCTGCTCTGGAGACGAGTCCCCGCTCTGTGCTGCCCATGGGGAGCTTCCTCACGGCAGCC